AGGCCTTGACCCCTAGAGATTTTAGGCCAATTAGCTTGGTGACAAGTATCTACAAAATAGTGGCCAAAGTACTATCCTTGAAACTAAAAGAGGTAGTTCTTTCTATCACCACACCTAATCAAGGGGCATTTGTGTAGGATAGGCAAATTATGCCAGATTCTAATAGCCAATGAGTGTGTAAAGGAGAAAATTATAACCAAGGGGCATTTGTGTAGGATAGGCGGCAAATTATGGACCAAATTCTGATAGCCAATGAATGCGTAGAGGATAAAAGGAGGGAAGGTAGCAAAGGCTTTGTGTGTAAATTGGATGTGGTAGTGATTTAAACGGCATGCCTAGGCACATAGGCAAGGCGCATTTTAGGGTCCTACATTCATTCGTGAAGGTACTCCTAATGGGTTGAAAACCATATCAACAGGTGTTCCATCTTGCAAATAAGGCATATCTTGTCTAGGCAAAATTTTTGAAATGACCCGTGCACCTCGCCTCGGTCCTAGGTGCCTAGGTGTGCACCTAATGCGCCTTGCGCCTCAACCCAGGAGTGCACCTTTTGAAAATTCCATTTGAATACGCTTATATGTTTATGTTTATGTATTTTAAATTTTAAATTTGAAAATTCCATTTGAATGCGCCTTATTTTTAAATTTTCATTTGAATACGCTTTACATATTATGTTTATGTATTTTAATTTTAGATAATAGTTTTTTAAAACATTTATTTTAAAATTTAGGTTTATATTTTTTTATTTTTTGCTTTTTTTGGATTTTTCTTTAATTTTCTGACATTTTTTTTATTTTTTTAGCTTTTTTGTATTTTTGCGCCTTGCTTCAAAAAGGCTTGCGCCTTGCACCTTGCACCTCAAGCAGAAATTGGCCCCTACGTCTTTTTTGCACCTTGCACTTTTAAAACACTAGGATGTGGAGAAGGCTTATGATTTGGTGGACTTGTCTTTCTTATTAGAGGTCTTAAAGAAATGTGGGTTTGGAAAAAATGGTGTAAATGGATCAAAGGCTGCCTACAAAACAGTCATTTCTTTGTACTAGTTAATGACCTAGTAAGGAACTTCTTTCCAACTTCTAGAGGCCCAAGACAAGGAGACCCACTCTCACCCTTCCTTTTCACCTTAACCGCAAATGTCCTTAGTAGATTGATTTCCAAAGCCGATTGAGGAGGTAGTGAGAGGGTGGAGAATAGGATGAAATTATATGGTGGTCACCCATCTATAGTTTGCAAGTGATACAATGATCTTTTGTAATGAGTTCAATCTACAACATGTGAGAAGGTTAAGTTGTTGCTAAACCTCTTCAAAAAGATCTAGCTTGAAGATTAACCTTGAGAAAAGTTGTGTAGTAGGGGTAAACTAAGCTGAGAGGGAGGTAGAAGCAATCGCAAAGACTGTAAGTTGTCAAACTAGTGAGTGACCTTTGAAGTATCTAGGACTGCCTTTAGGAGGGAATCCAATGAATGTGGATTTTTGGACTCCGGTCATAGAAAAGTTTGAAAAATGATTAGCAGCTTAGAAGCAGAATTGCATCTCATTAGGTGGTAGACTAACCTTGATCAAGTCTACCCTAGCAAACCTTCCAATGTATTACCTCTCTGTCTTTAAGATTTCCAAAAAAGTGTCTAACTTGCTGGAAAAGATAATGAGGTATTTTCTTTAGGAGTGGGGAATGTGACATGTAAGAATCAAGCATTGCTAGGGAAATGGCTACGGAGAATCGGAGAATCCCCTTGAAGAATGAGAAACTATAGCACAAGGTAATAGCTAGTCTACATGGACTGTTGCAAATGGTTGGGATGCTGGAGTCTCAAATAGAGCTACTTTTTCCTCTCCTTGGAAAGCTATTCATGCAGTTCTTCCTTGCTTCCTTGAGCAAGTCAGGTATGGTTCTTATTCAAGGTCTAAAATTCGGTTTTGGGAGGACACCTAGGTGGGTGGTTCTACTTTAAAGATGCTTTCCCCTCTCTTTAATCAGCATCTTTGTTTAAAACTGAGCCTGTTTCTGAGAGAATGGCTTGGAGCCTTGGAATTTGTGTTTCAAAAGAGGATTAAGAGGCTGAATGTGTCCTAATCTCTGAGTTGTTGCTCATCCTTGATTCAGTTGTTTTTCCTTCTACCCCATACAAAAGAATTTGGATCCCAGACCCTAAAGGTTTCTTCTCTTGTGCCTCCTTTCATTCTCTAGTTGCTCAAGCTCCTTCTGGGTCTCCCTTTCCAGTGAGTGAGGTTTGGTGCAAACCAGATCCCTTAAAATAGAGGCTTTTTTGTTGGGAGATCTTTCATAGAAAAATCAACACTCTAGACATGCTTCAGAAGAGAAGGAAAATTGTTTGTTTATCCCCTAACTGGTGCACACTTTAAGGCAAATGGTGAGACTGCTTATCACATTATAATTTCCTGTCCGTTTGTAACCTCTATTTGGGAGTGTCCCTTGATAAAAATTTGGGAGTGGTCCTTTGACCTCTTTGGGCAACCCGGGGCCATCTGGAATAGGGGGAGTCTTTAGAAATGATGAGGGGCAGATTGTAGCTCTATTTTCTGGTCCTATAGGGTGGGGAGATTCAGTAAATGCAGAACTCCAAGCTGTGATACAAGGAGCAGAAATTGCAAAAGAGTTGGAAGTGGAGCATTTAATGATTGAAGGTGACTCCAAATTGGTTATTGGATGGCTAAAAGAACCAGAGATGGAAGCCTGGCCGTACAGGGGGGCTTTGAGAAGATTTAAGTGGCTAACTGCTAACATCAAATATTTCAGTCACAGTTTCAATGGGAAAGAAGATCGGCAAATGGACTGGCAGACTTCCTAGCTAAACAAGGAGTACGTAGGAATCAGCTCTTTTGGGCTCAATCATAAGCTTTATGATGTAGTTCAGAGGCTGCACCTCACGCCTCTTTGTGGGGAATTGTATGATGTATACTTAGTTCTTTAATTAATAAAATTATCATTATCTATCAAAAAAAATTATGGAGATGTACTAGGGCTGTTGTTGTATGGACAGTTTGGGAAGAAAGAAATGTGAGACTCTTAGGCTATGTTTGGTTTGAAGGAAAAGGTAGGGAAAGGAAGGGAAAGACAGGGAAACCAATACAAAGTTTGTAAAGGTTTCCTTACCTTTCCCTACATTTTCCTTCAAACTAAACATGGCCTTAAAGGATGAGGAGATAAATGTGGAAGCAATTTTAGATTGTATCCTCCTAAGGCTGATTCATTGGGTTAAGTCCTTGGACTTGTTCTCACCATTCTCCTTTGATGATATAAAAAGGAATTGGAAGGAAGTGGCCTTTTCATCTACAAGAAAGACTAAAATAGTTCATATTTGGGAGCCACCATCGGAAAGCTTTATAAAACTCAATTTGGATGGAGCTATTTTGGCAACCCAGGCCCTTCAGGCATAGGAGAGGTATTCGGGGATATAGATGGAACTATTTTAGCTTATTCTCAAGTCATATTACTCAAGGAGATTCAACTAAAGCTGGATTGTCTGCTGTGCTGTGCGGAGTCTAATTAGCAGAAAAACTAAATTCAAGAAGGCTGTGATAGAAGGAGATTCCCTAGAAGTAGTAAGTTGGTTCAAAATGTAACAAACGCAGCCTAGATTTACTGAGATTTGGTAAAGAAAATCAAGTGGCACCTAAGATGTGTAGCAGTGACTGTTTAGTGGGTTCCAAGGGCTGCTAATGGGATGGCAGATTCTCTAGCAAGGCAAGGGATTGTAAGGGAGCAATTATTTTGGGCTCAGATGTTTTAAGGAGTAAGTGTTTCACTTGCTTAACTGTTTTAGGGAGTGATTGTCTTGGGCTCAGTTGTTTAACTGTTTTTTAGGGGTACTCATACCCCAGTTGTAATTCACTAAAATACTGTATATTCTTGTTTTAATGAAATTCTTCCTCTTATCTATCCAAGAGAGAGAGAGAGAGAGAGTAGCAGAAAGGGAATAATGTTGCTGATCCCATAGACTTGGGATAATGTCTAGATTGATATGTTAGACTGATGGTAGTTGTAGAATTGGTTTGGGTAGGAATTCACTATAGAAGCTGTTTTGTCATTAGAAACACATTAGAATTTGCAATGGATCAAGTTTCCTTTTTCCGGATAAGCAGGCCAAATTTACAACTTTTAGAAGATTTTCTAGGAGTTCTAGTAAATTTTGAATTTGAAATTAGTCCAACTACAGGTATAAATTGGAGAGAAATTAGAAGTAATTAGCTTAGAAAAATAAGTCTACATAAGGTCTAAATTGTTACTTAAAAAAAAAAGACAACAATGATGATGATGTCAAGTTTTCTTTCAACATATTTCAAATAAGTCCTGAAGAAATGTGTTAGTTTGGCTTAACTCTAGTAGTATCACCACAATAATACTTATGACGTAGTTTCTAAGACTTAAAAAAAAAAAAAAAAGCATTATGGGTCATCACTTGGTCCAATGGTAAAATCTTGACCTGACAAGTTCAAGTGGAGTCTCAGAGTGACACTTTTGTGGTGGACTGGGGGGGGACCAAAGGTTAGGCCTCTATCCAGTCCACTCCTCCTAGGAACCCAAAATATACAGCACCAACATTTGGTAATGGCCCTTTTAAGTTCTAAGAAGAGTAATGCAATATTGGGTCCAAATTGTTCAAAGAACATTCAAAAAATTGCCATGCTAACCACCAAGCTGAAGCAAAAAGCTTTGCATAAAATTATAAACATCTAAATTACTGTTAGGAAAAAAAATGATCAGCAACAAGGCAATTTCTATGATACCAGAAAGGTATGATACATGAAAAACTTTAACCAATTAGAAACCCATGTGAATTTGAATTAATAGCAATTGATTGGTTACCAATTAGATGACACCGGTTGATTGGATATCAATCTTTCAGCTATAATACCTTTTTGGCATCATAGTCAGACTCCAGAAACAAAGAACTAATGTAAAAATATCATCAATATTTCACTTGTAAGCACAATTTTGCCCAACACTTCTCTACGAAATCAGCTCAGAGATCCTTACTGGTAAAGCTGCCGCATGGCTCCTTATAGTCATCACCTTTCTGCAAGATTGTTATTTGACTTCCAACAGCTATAGCAACATATTCACCACTCGGAGAGATAAATAAGGATACCAATTTGTTCAGTCTTTTGGGATTTTTATATTTGTCCCATTTCTCCTTAAGTTGAGATAGACCTTCATATGATAAAAACCTGTCAGTGTTCTATAATTTGACACAGCCAACCAGTTTGAATGGAACATTCCAATAGAAAGATTGGTATCAACAAGCTAGTGTCAGAATAAGCACACAACAACCAAAGCTGTGTTTGAACAGGTAACAAAGAAAACCTTGATCACTACATCAAAAGCATCTACTCTGAGAACCTATAGAAAAAAATAGACGAGCTAATAATGTTAATCATAGAAACCAACAACAACAAATCCCAGTTCATATTTTTTTTTGAAAGATAAAGGTGATCAATTTGACAGATTAATGAAACGCTGACCATAACCACACGTTCAGAAGCCCTAAAAGAAAATTCAAGTATAGCACACTCTAAACTCATATTGAAACTTTGGCAACTAATACAACTGCTAGTAAACAAAGATTATCGAATTCCCTGAAGCTAAAACTTTGATCTAACATCATTTGACAAGGAGGAGCAGCAGACATTTATTGAATAGGCAGACTTCTTGACTGCTTAACGCAAATATAAAAGCTGAAGCTTAGCAAATTCAAAACGGGCAACACCACACAAACCTAAATCGAATAACTGAAAGAAAAAAAAAAAAAGCAAACAAATAATAATAATTAGTCTTTCTACCCAATTGATCTAGTCCAGCATTCAAAACTGCATAACGATGAAAAAATAAAAGAAAAGAAGAAAAAAACAACGTACCTATCAAGGACAATAAACCACCTTTATTGCCTTCATTTAGCTGAAATTTTCACAAAGAAAAAGGATTAACTGAAGAATGGCAGCAACAGACTTCAAATTCATCACGAAATAGACAATTTGGGCGCGTAAAATCAAAATCAGATCAATAGAACTAGAAAAGAGAAGAGATGACATACCTGTTGCGGAGGATAATTGGAAACGAAAGGCCTTGAAGCATGACACCGTGTCTCATAAAGCACCTCTATAACAGATTCCTCCATTAACAAATACTGTAGCTTTTTATTCTCCGTGTATATTTTTTTCTTTTGCCCCGAGATTTCAGAACCCTAGAACACAAAATCATAGAGACCGTCTGGAAATTCCATGAAATTACTTCAAGTTCAAACCAGTCCGGATCTGCTATTATCCAGTCCCTCCCTCGTGCGATCACTAGAGAGAGAGAGAGAATGCGTACAAGAGAGACGACCCCACTCTCGATGAATCCGAATCAACCGGCAACACAACGCTACCAACTAAAGGAAACAATTTGGCTGTCCAAATTCGATAGCCTGCGGCCATCAACAAGTCTCTCCTCGCATGACACGTACGCTTCAAAAAATACAATGGAAAATCCATGAAAATATTAAAAATGAAGTAACTAATTAAGTATATATATAGATATAGATATATATACTAGAAAAAGCAATATAATACAAATATATATACATATATATAGAAAAAGATAAACAATACAATATATAAGACTATATAATTATTTTATATTTTAATTTTTAAATAATTAATAATTATTTATATTTTATATATTATTTTTAAATTTTTTAATACAAAAATAACAATAATTAATTTCAACTATGAGGAATTGATGATTCATCAAACTCATGAAATCAACCAACTTGAGTTGGTGGGCTTTCTACTATTTTTCAATCAGCTTTGGTTTAATATTTTCCCAATTTCATTAGGTCAAGTCAATTTTGGTTTGACCATTTGTAAATCGACGAAAATTGAACCAATCTGACCATAGATTTATATATAAATATTTTATGTTTTAAATATAATTTTTAATATGAAAAATGGCAAAATTCCCTCATTTCTTATTCTAAAATATTTTATATTATCAATTTAAATTATTGTTAAAAATATATTTAACACAAATACAATAAATAATTGCTGAAAATACGCTAAATATTAATTTTAGTATATACAAATATATAATAAATATAGAGAAATATTATTTTTTTGAAAGCTATTACATAATTTCCTTATTTAACCTATTCTTTAATTAATATTCAAAGTATTATTTAGTTCTTAATTATTTTATATTTTACATATTTAAAAATTAGTTATTTACAATATTAATTAGTTGTTCAAATAATGTCATTATTTATATGTTTTTTAAATATTAATTATTTATTGAATTTAATAATATGCAAAATTATAATTTATACTATTATTATATAATTTTGTTATATTATTAATTCAAATATTATGAAATCTATTATTAATTACTTTTCTACTTGTAAGAAATTTTTTAAATTCATTACATAATTTTGTTATTTTAGCTATTTAAAAACTTAGCTGTGATAATACTTCATTATTTAAAATATTTAGTTATTTAAATTTTATTTATGTTAAAGGTATTACGTAATATTTAATATTATGTTATATAATTATTTAGCTATTTTTAATATTTTTATTTAATGTATTTAGTTATTGAAATATTTGAATAATATTTTTTTTAGTTTTAAATTTCTATTATGTGTTTAAATAATTGTCATTTAAATTTTTAAACTATTATTTAGTTATTAGATTGAATAATCCATAAAAATATTATTTTTGTGTTTATAATAAATATTTTAAATTTATTACATAATTCCATTATAATATTTAAGTAATCCTTAAATTTTTTAATTCAAACTTTCTTTAGATAGATATAGATCAAAAGTGGGAGAGGATAAGTAGCAATTAAAGATAATTTTAGAGATAAATAGGAGTTAGAGATAATTTAGGGAAAGGTGGGGATAGTGTTGCCACTTGGCTAGATATTATAAAACAAAATCTCTTTTTTTTCCTTTATAACTAACTATCTTGCCACGTGGCTTAATGGGTGGGCTGGGTAGGGAAAAAGAGGAAAGAGAGAGAGCGAATGAAAGAGCTGGAAAGGGGTAAGGGAGAAAGGAGAGAAGAGAGAAGGGGAAAGGGAAAAGGAGAGGGCTGCTAATGTGGGACCTAATCGCTTAATAATATAGTACAGATAGCTCATATTATTGTTCTAAAATCCCTGATTAACTTTGTAACACACAAAAAAATATCCTAGTAATTTATCATGTATATAAGTTGGTTAAAATAAATAGATATTAACCTAATAAGAACTCATATGGTTAAGGAGTCCTAGGTTATATTTTTTTCGAAGCGTAAGTTAATACAAAAAAAATGTTGATGCTTACTTAAAAAGTGTAAATTGACCATTATAATGCTTCCTAATACCTAAAAACTTAAAAAATGTTGATGTTTGCTTCAAAAAAGTGTAAATTCCACTATATCAGTGTTTAAAATTTGAATCAAAATACCTAAAAGAGGTTTAAGCTTCTCACCCACCAAAACTTCTTTCTCTACCAGAATATCTACTCCTTTTTCAAATTGTACAAAAGAAATGGAGGGTTTTTGTTTAGCAATTTTATTGACAAAAATTAAGAAGAGGCTGACCTGAAATTGATCTTAGTCATGAAACCGCCTAAGTCTAGTCTCTAATATTTTATTCTTGTATTAACAAGGACCCTTGCAATGCATGGATTTGTTAAAAGAATTTGAGGTAAAAGGAGTTAGGGGTGTAATTTGGGTGGGCCCTCATGGAGGCCGAATTGTCCTACTTTCCTCGATGCTAATGACAGGTGGCCCTTTAACCTAGAGTGAAGGATAACCATAAGGGGTATCGGGGACGTCTCCTTAAGTGAGATCATGTAAGAGCAGGTGAAGGACCTAGTCGAGAAGGGAGCACAGGTCGAGACCTTTCTAACCGAGGAGACATTAATTCAAGCTAAGATGAGTCCTCCAAGTACATTGTCCTTCAATGCTTAGGTGTTCTCCTTCCTTTTATTGTGTCTTTCACCTCGTTTATTGATCATTCTATACCTTTGTAGTAGAGATGGGAGGTGTTGACACTTCAGGAGTTCTAGGTGTCACCATGAAGAAGTTGAAAAAGAGGAAGGTCTGTAACTCTTTCTAAGCTACGACAATGGAACAACTGAGGTCCAAGGAGTAAAGGCCTACTGTCGTCGTTAACCTCATCGACGGGGAGAAGGAGGATGAGATGCTATTTAACCCTACAAACGACGAGCATATCATCCTGAGTTCAAGCACCAAGGTAATTTGCATGTCCGAGCATACCCCGGGCATGATTGAGACACATGCTCCCAAGTTGAGCCTAGGGTGGTAGGTTACGACTGCTGACAGGATACGAGATCCCCAGGTCACGCTCAAGTTGGGTCAGGGCATTCTTCTTCCCGACGACACGAGGAGCGTCAACGACCAGGCCACCTCGGTGCTTGGCAAGAAGCTGATCCGAGCCATCCTGACAGTAAGGACATGGAAATTTTTCTAGTACTCCCCATTTTTCATCTTTGTCCAACCTATGCTAATCTAAGCTCCCTTGCAAGCCAATGGCATAGCACAAGTTCTCATGGGAAGATGCAACACTTTCTAACGTCACAACGAGCTGGTTTCAAAGGGGGTGGACGGTCTACAAACTCAATTAGTCAAGGCTCAAGTCAATGCATGATAGGTTGTGGAGCAGCTTTGTTGGAAGGGTTAATATTCATCATATAGAAGGTCGAAACGTGTTAGATGGCTGGGCAAAATTTCAAAATTTTCTAATCCTTATGGGAATTGAATTCCCTATGTTTTGGAAAATTGAATTTTTCAGGATCGGTCTTGCACTGAACCGAACTAGATTTGAAACTAATCAAAGAGGGAGATGTATACTTGATATGGATACCACAGATGTAGATCCCAAAGGTGGAAATTCATGCCTAAATCAGTAGTAAAACCACCATCCACTGAAGATGGCATAGTGTATTCCTAAAGTCGGTTCAGCAACACAATTTTTTGCAAAATTGAGATCCAATTGCTTGGATTGAACTTAAGATGATGAGCCTGATATTCTCTAAATTTTTCTTGAAAAAAAAATCAAAGGAGAACTAATCTAAATCAGTCCTGGATAGCTGATGTCGAACTGGGAAAAAATTGGGAGACAAAAGGGTGTAGAGAAAACTATAAATTACAAAAATATACAACTTTCTTGGACTGATCTGCCCCCTCTTCTTTTGTAATCTCTTATGAAGTTATCTCCTAATCTAATTAGGAGATAATCTCTAATTAGAGATACACCTTATCTTCTTATAAGATTAGGTCCCAGATTTGGCTCATGTCACATGACAACTTAAACTATCATATGGCAGAATAATTAATCATATTAATTATGGGCCTTAGGCCCATCAGCTACAAGGCTCATGACACAAGGGTGTTGCATGACCAACGTATGCCTGATTTGTATGGTGTGGGACCCCACAATGACCTCGCATAAGTCCATATGAGTTTGGCCCAACTTTTGTGAAAACGCTTGGCCAAATTCACTGCTAAACATAGTGAACCCCTGAGCACATCACTATGGGCTCAAAATGGGCCCAACATTTATACTTAAAAGATCATTGAATTCAATCATCCTATGAATACCCAAGGATAATGGACTTAATTAAGATAAAACCCATCAGGTAACCAAGCCTTAATGGTCTCTTACACTTAACATCTAGGCCCATAATGATCACAACATTACCCGATAAGGAAGAACTTCTCCCCTGGCTGCAAGGTATAGTGTCACACTTTCTACTCAAATGGATCATCGGAATTAAAACCTTTTGCAAACATTTTTCATAAAACATAAAATATATAATATAAATATATTTTGCAAAACAAAATCTTAAACACAGTTGAAATCCACTATCGGAAATTTAGGTTTCCATTAGAGAGACTATAAGCCCAATCATTCACTTTGTCCGACAAAGGGGCCGATCCTATCACTATGATCACCCACTCATATGATTTCTAAGACTGCCCCAACATACCCAGGTTTTTACCCTCAATGGTTCTCACTGATTGGCATATCAAACATAGCCTAATCTAACACCTAGTGTAGTATTATAATCAAGTCTAGGGGTTATGTGTAATTTTCCAGTTTTGCCCATCAATCTCCAAGGTCCATGACATAACTAGAAAATTGTGAGTGTTCAGTGTTTCAACCAAACACACATTGCATGTGCTTTGGGTCTAACCCTAGCAGATAAGACAAGCTACAACAACTTCTTTGACAACACATCAGTGTCTGGCAGGATAAACTCCTCAAGTCTATCCATGGCTGAGAACATTCTAAAGTAACACGAGTCTCATAAGTGTCCAGTTTAAGGGGTAATTACATAGAAACATACCAATATCAACA